TATATATATATATATAACATTTTTTTTTACAGTAGATTGGATTTATTAAAGTGCTGGATGTCTGGCCCCTGAGCTATTGTATCTCAGTAACACTGGCCCCTGAGCTGTTGATTTGTAGTAACTGTAGCCCCTGAGCTGCCTCTGTGGGGACCCTCAGGCTCATGACAGACATTGCTTCACGCTGCTTCTGGTTCTTAACTCGTCAGTCCTGCAGGAGTATGGAGGAAGTTGTTTCTCCTTTATGCAGCCTGGACTTSTGACAAAGAAAGGATTTGACGGAGYTRCTATCTCCTTTCCGGCACACTCAAAGTTTCCACGTTTAAATCTCAGTGCTGGCCCAGCTGTTTTATRTCTGTGGGTCTCAATGTTCCAAAATGAACTTCCTCTTGTCCTCCTGATCCCCTCTCTTGTTTCTGCTGTGAGCTCCTTAACATGGCATCCCCAATCTGCTGAAGTCTTTCAAACAATGGATTTGTTCTTAGTGTTACCAGGACCAAGAGTCSTCCTACTCATTAATGGTCAGAACTCACAAGACTTCATCTCTCCATCTGCTGATGATTTGTTGCAGGCAAGCRTTAAACAGGGTCTTATCCAAGAAACTGGGTGTTGGCGTTCTGTTTTCTGTTGTTTTTCTCTGCTGGATGACGCAGCTAAGTTAGCCGACCTCAGAGGAATACCAGTTCACCCGTCTAATATATTCGGTGTTTATTGAACCGCAAATATTCTGTGTTAAATGCAAAAAAATAAAAAGCCAAATGTAAAACAATACAATGTGATTTTAGTGATATATTGTGTTGTTTTTCAAAAGAAACCAGGAYAGAATAGTGAAATGGTTTTGAGCATTATTTTAAAGATTTTGTAACAGTTGGACTGATCTTCAGAAAACAAAAATTCAGAAAACGTAAAAAAAGGAAGAAGAAGAAAAATGCAGCACAGATTGAATCTGACTTTGTCTTACAAGCACAGTTTTATTAAAAACAAAGAAAATAAAAGTGAATTTAAGTTCATGATTCTGCCCTAGGAGGCATACTGTCACACTGTTCACTGCAGCTCTTGAACAGTTATTAGTCCAAAGTAACATAGTAATTGTTCTTGGCCCAACGAAGGTCTGAAAACATTTTTGGGTCAAAGGTCAAAGCTGAAGGTTAGGTAAAGTGAAATTTGTTGCTTGAATCCCCTTACTTTGGATGATGCACATAAGTGGTTGGTCACTGAAATTAATGATATAGTAAATATCAAAGAGGAAGTCRTGTTTAGACATTGTTGATATAGTTACATGATTAGAATATTTMGATCCAGAATTAGAGATCAACAGGTAACACATCACAGGCATGCCCAGTGCTTTAAATGCAGATGAGTCTAAGGCARGCGGAGACATACCAGTCCATGCTTTGGCATTGAGTTCTAACTGGTTTTTGGGTTTCACTGGTCAAGAAACATTTCACACTGAAACCCAATGTTTAGACTGATCCACCTCCTGTCACTAAGCTGTGGATTGTCTCTCTCAGTGTGCGGTTCTGAATGTCAGGTCATGTATTAACCATGTGCTGACCATGGATCACATGATATAATAATGCTAATTAACTATAAAACAGTCTGGTAAATAACATGTTGATGAAAACAATCAACATGGATGAGGATTTACTTTCTTACTTGTTGTTTCTGAACACAGATGTGATACTCTGTTCACAATGCAACAGCTCCACCTTCTGACCAAACAATCAAAGACAAAGTCTAAAAGTCAGACTGGTACCAGCCTGAGTGTGAGGCTGGTGTTTCAGGTGAAAAAAATCCATGGTGGCCATTTTATTAATAATA